CTGCTAAAGTACTATAGCCATTTCGAATTTCCTTCCATGTACCCAGGCTTAGACTTAAGTTTGAGTTGGTTTTAATGTTAAATTGACAGTGTTTGCTGTATTAAAAGTAGGAATTAAAAGTAGTTAGAGCACTTGTACATCAACTTGAAGGTCAACGGCATAAACCCAGGTCGGACCTGTGCTTACTGTTGTGTCTTTGGGCAACACACTTCTCCCATTTCTGTACGAAATTGGTGCGTGATTCAGTGATTAATGGTCGTCAAAGCAAATGGCACAGAATATCACAGTGTTAATCTACCCTGGGACAGATGTAACTACAACAATCAGGACAGGAGTGAATGAATAACGCATGAAATTGTAAAGTGCCGTTGAGTTAAGCAGTAGATATTCAGTAGACGCTACAGAAATAATAATATTGATCAATATGAAGAATTTTGACTGCTGAGCATAAAGACTTAAAAAAAAAAAATCTTTGATATAAAAAATTAAAAAATGAAAGCAGGTGAAGCAAGTTGAGCACGACTGTTGCTCCCAAGAGACACCCTTCTCCACAGAGACCCAGAGAGTGAAGTAAACAGGTCCATCCTTATCTATCCAGGCAGGAAATGGCTTTTGACATGTTAGAGGGCGCACATTCCCGGACTATTTTACCGCTTTGATTAATACCGGTGCGATGGCGGAGGAGAAAGAAAAGGATAACAAGGGGGGTAGGGGCCGAGCATGCGGAGAACACTGGCGGACTGGAGTTAGCTCTTATCTGCTGCTTGTAGCTTGTATGCACCTGCGCCCTGACAGCTTTTCAATTGACTGAGGGTGCGCTTCTCCTTTGGCCCTTATCTTGTATCTCCACACTCATCTTCTCCCATCTCCCGGGCCTTATCGCGGGCGCGGCGTTGGAGCCAGCCGGGAGCCGAGGAGTGCTGCTACTCTCGCTCCACTTTGTCGATCAAAACCAGCGAAGAGACTTGCTGTACCACAATCCCCAGGGCGACGTGAGCTCTCCACAGTACTTTGTTGAGAATTTAGCAGTCGATGTAGGTCCTTTGCAAGTTGTGTAAGGACATGCAATGATGTAACAGAGGTAGTGGGATCTTTGTGATGTGTAAGGTAAAGACAACATGATAATCTAGTGAGGGTAATCTCACTCTTGGAAGCAGGGTTCTTAAAACATAAAAACAACTGAGTGCTCCATAAATTTAAGAGCACAATATTCAACTGACTAAAGCTAGGGATGTCATAATATCAGAATTTAATATTAAGCTTCTTGTGAAAAGAAAAATATACAAACATTGAAAGCACAACAGAACCACAGTGACATTAATATTGATTTATAGATTACAATGCCCTAGTATGTCAGTAGCTTTACAAAATAAAATTCTCTGAATTATAAGGGTGTAACAATAATCAAAACCGTATTGTCAAAGTCTCACAATAATATCGTGGACTGTCACAATATATCAAATCACAAGTTCCTTCGCTTAAATGCATGGTTTTACAGTAGCAATAGCTTATAAACATTGGGAACTACATATCCCATGATTCATTTCCGTGCAGAAAACATGAAGAAATATGTTTTTATGATGAAAATAATTCACACCAAAATCTTGTCAAGGTATTTTAAAAGCAAAAAATAAGTTTTCTATCTACAATTATATTAGCTTCTCCAAAATATCACAATAAATATCGTGCCGTAAGATGCATTTCGTGATATTATCGTACAGAAAGATTTGGATATCGTTACATCCCTACTGAATTATATTCTGACCTGTATAACCACGAAAATTAATTAACCAATTATTCTTTCCCTACTGCAAGTTAGTAGCCTTGTTGGGTTCATCTTGAAAATCTAAACTTTCTCCCACTTCCTGCATCACTGTTCTAAAAATAAATAAATAAATACAATAAAAACTACTCACTGTCAAAAATGCTCATCCAACTTTTTGGTTTCATATGACATAGCTGCAATTTTGGGAAGTTCTGTACCACTATAAATAAAAGCTAGGTTATTACTACTGCCTCTGTGTTCTTGGTTTTATTGGCTTACCTATAGTGTCTTTGGTTTTTGACATGAACCATTGGAAAATATGACACTGAATTTATAGACCATGCTTTAAGTCTTCTCCCTAAATCAGAGCTCCAGTGGCCGGCAGTCTCCAGTAAAACTTTGGCTTGTCAGTGCTCCAAGCGTTATCAGCCAGTGATCTGGGATCCTTTGACATAGGCAGAAAAGATCTGACAAAGGCGGGCTATTAGAGCTACTTCCAGCACCAGTGTAGCAGACAGCTGGCCTTGTTAAAATGCCTCAGAAAGTGATGTGAGCAGTTTGACGTGGGGCTGCCTCCGGTGTCTCCATACTGCTGCTGGTTTATTACTTTTAGGTCCTTCTGTGGCAGCAAAAGTGGATCAGATCTGAGCCGCTACAATAACACAGGATTCAGTGGTTAATATCGTGCAGTAAATGTCCCAGCTCTCAATTCAATTCATTCTTCTGTGTCAAAGTCATGATTGAATGTTGATTGTTTGTTATCTAGTGGTCAGCTAGAAATTGAACCAGTGACAATCTCTTGGCAGGAAAAAGTGCTGGACATTTGAAAGTTGTAATGTTTATGGCGGAAAAGCCTGATGAAATGCCTGATATTAAAGTTAAGGTTGAGGCATACTTTATTAATCCCTTAATAAAAAAAAAAGATAAAATCATTCTCTGTATTTGATCCATCTTCAACCAATCCTGCTGGGGCAACCTGTCAGAAGCATTGAGCAGCTGCAGTACAGCGTTCAGGAACCAGATCTTAAGCGAGGAGTGGTTGGGGTGAGCTTAGCTGGAGGATTTTTCCCATAGTGCATGTCTTCTCTCCATTACAGCCATATTTAATAACATGCATAAGTTTTCAAAGGTTTCGCCAACTTAACTCCATCCTCCTCCCAAACACACAAGTCTGGAGAAGCAGGTTTCTGTAAAATGTTCATGTGCACCAGCAAATCAGCAATGCACCATCTGAGTGTCACATTTTATCTTCTTTGAAACATTGTTAAAAAGCTGATCTTTGGCATTTATTAGGCTATGAAATAAAAACGTGGTACTGAATCATATCCCACTGAGTGTGACATTCCAGGCTGCTGTAGGATGTAATCTTTGTGTTTCCATCCTCCATCACTACACTACACTTCGCTGTAACAGAATGGCTGAGTGCCCTGTGCTCTCTGCTCGGTCCAACCTCAGGGCGCCAGCGTCAAAGCCCTTTTTGCTCTGAGGATTAAACTGGATTAACACATCCCACACACACCTTATTGTACAGTAGCTTTGTTCTGCCGCCGTGCACCAGGGAAACTTCCACAAAGTTTACAAGACTAAGTTAGACTGGCACTGTCTGTGGAACTACTGCACACTTTTCCATATGAAAATGTTTCTAAAGACTTTGGATGACTCCCACCTGTAAGTTATCTAAGAGAAACTTTTTTAGAACAACATAATGCTCTGACTGATTCTAGCAAAGTGTAAGAAACTGCTGAAAAGAAGTGGTGCAAAAAACAGAAGAAAGTTTTGAGTTTGGCACACTGATTTTCTTCAGACAATATAATGTGATTTAATGCACAAAAACAAGAATGTCTAACCTTTGTGTCAGAGGAAGACTTCTCTTTTCTCTATTATAGAATAATTATGGTTGGTTATTTTGATAGTTAAACATTGAAATACAGAAGTATTCAGTTAAGAAAGGATACTATGGGGTATTATTTGTTATTTACATCACATTGTTACCTTCTGTTGGTTTGAAAATTCTATAGTCATAGAAAACAATGTATTAAGTAAAATTAGTTTCAGTTTTGTTTTTGTTTTAATTCCCAGTCTATTCTTTATGTAACTGACTGCAAACCCTTTCCCTTAATAAATAAACAGTTATGGTTTTGTGGTCTCATGCGTGCAGCTTCAAAGGAGGTGGTCGCGACAGCACAGCAGAGCTCCAGTCCTCATGTGCGTGTCACACCAAAACAAAACCGGTCAGACACTTGAGCTGCAGCTGTCCCGGGTGCAGTCTGAGCGAAGCCCGAGTCATGTTTAGCAAACTGTTCATGCCCCTAATGGGTGATCTGAAACCTATTAGCATACTGGCTATCTCTATTGTAAAGAGATAAATTATGTGGAAGCCTCCAATCCTTGTTCATCATCTTCACTCAAAAAACATTTGACACAACTGAATTTTCTTTTGCTATGGATACTGCCTGTATGACTAAGGAATTACACAGATATTAGGGAAAAATGTTAGATGGTAGAAACTTGATTTAGCATATCTCCTCTTTAAAAAGAAAATTGTACAATCTCAAAATCTGTCAGTAAAGACAAATCTTCAATGGCTGTGAATTATTAGACCATAAACCATCAATGCAGTTGACAGCCTTGCACAATACTGTATACTGTTCCTTTGAAAAACATATACTGTATTGTGTAATGTATCTCGCCCTATATCATAATCTTTAATGATTTGCCTTGGGATTCGCTCCTATTGCTTATACTGACTTACTTGTTTAATGACCGTCCATTCTCCACATGCAACAGTAGAACAGTGTTTGTTTTTCAGATAACTTCACTCACCATGTCACAGCACAAGCCTCATTACCGCCTCAACACCGAATTTACCGTCTCGCTCGGGTCTCCGCAGTGAATTGTCGACCGGGTGTTTTACAGACTGCAGCACCAATAATTAGCTACCTTTTCCCCGGCTGTGGCTCATTACGAGTCGACAGCGAGCGGCCGAGATTGGGAAAATGGGTATTGTTAAAGTCTGCTTAATTAAAGGAGCCAATTAAAACACTTATCACATTAGTGCGGTGGGCTCTGGAGGATATTTGCATGTTAACCGGTTAAAAATGAGGAAAGATGACTATCTGTGGCGCCTTATTAGTTTGTGGATGTGTGACTCGGAGCAGCACCCTGAGGGCTACAGGGAATAACATGCATCTGTTTTTAAAAGGTGGGAATTAGCCAGCAGCACATGGATCCTCACCTCACGTGTTCTTCGGTCTTGGAGGCAGCTTGGTGGAACTGGTCTTTGCTCTGCTCGTACTCTTCTTGATTCTGAAAACACAAAATAGTAGGATTTATGGTTATTTACATGGTTTACTGGTATTTATCATGCAAGATAGAGGAACTTTTGGTCTGGAAAATATAGTATATACAGATTTAGATATACAGACTACAAAAAAACTGTAGTTGTCCAGACATTTGGACACATGTTGGACACATACTCACCAATGACGTACATGGACAATAACACTACAAGAAGAACCTCATGTTCTAAGTCAAGAAGAAAAACAAATGATATGTAGGTGATACTGACAAAGAGATATATATATATAAATGATTTTTTTGTATAGCAAAAATAAATCAAGAGATTTTGGCATTACAACAGAAACGGGCTAAAACACGTCTTTTAATGTTGAAGTTTAAGTATCGTACAAATGTGTATAAATATTTTTTAAAAGAAGTTTTTTCCATTTTTATTTTTATTCAGCTCTTTTTGCAGCATTTACTTGTCTAGAGGAGCTTTAATTATTCATGATGGAGATTTAGCATATTATGTTAGCATTAGTTTGAAAGTATCAAGGGTTAGAGGTGGAAAACTTCAGCTTGTGGTGAAAACTCCACTCTGAAAAGACTTTGGGGAATCAAACCTTCTGCCAACAGCCAGTGTGCAGAACAGATCATCATACCCCACCATTCTAAACCAATGCAGATGTCAAGGTTTTACTATTTCACTTGGACAAAAGAAAGACTACTAAAGGAAGCGTTTTCAGGTGAGACACTATCAGCCACTTTGAATAAAAAGGTAAATGGTCACATTTTTCTATAGCGCTTTTCCACCTTCAAGGCTCTCAAAGTGCTCTGCACCAAGGAACACATTCATACACCAGTGTACACACATTGGGGGCTAGGTGGGTTAAGTGTTTTGCCTAAGGACACAATGACATCTGTGTTAAGCAGTGATGTTTACACTGAGAGTGGGATTCGAATCTCCAACCTTTGGATCAGTGAACAAACACTTTCTGATCATTATCTGATTCCTGGATATATCAGATGTCATGTGAACAGTTCCATCTGATGTGAGTAATCGGATTTCTTTATCATTGTTTACACGAGTGCTAGATTTGACAAGAAAAACAAGGCCATGGTAAAGACAAAAATAAAAGAGAAAATGCTCAAGACTGAAAGTTATTTTAAAAATAACACAACAGTCACTATAAAAATCCATTGATTAACTGTCACATGTCACCATGCGTTTTTGATGAGATTTCTCAGATTTCTCTTGGGCTGTAAACACACACCAAAAATCAGATCTAATTATTGGATTATTGTAGTTATCAGATTTTTACTGCCCATGTAATAGTACCCTGGTCATGTAAATATACCCACTGACATGAAACTATAACTGAGAGCATATACATATTACAATCCCAATATAAATCCTAGCGTGACAACATAATGTACTTCTAAACACTGCAGTTTTCCCATAATGCACAACCGATCCCACTCCCACTAACAACTTTGTATTGTATTCAAGCATAACATGATTTTATTTTAGTCGAGTAGCATATAAACCAGTCTGTTGGTAATGAGTCGCATTACTCATCCATTTTTTTAGCTAATTTTCTGACTTTGCAGCGTGCCCAGTGAGAAAAAAAAAAAGAACAAAACAAAAAAGCAAGCAGGCAGTGGTATTATGATAAAACAAGCAACTAATCCTCAACAACTGCAGCCTCTCCTCTGCTGATCCTTGGAGCTTAGGCCTCCCAGCATCCACATATTTAACCAGCAAACCACACCAGCTGGGGAGGAGAGGAAGTGAACGCAAGACGCCAAGCAGAGAGTGGAAAAGGAATAAAGAATGTGGTAAAAGAGGAGAGTTTCATGGGGGGTAAGAGTATTCCCAGTGAATGAGCTAAAACTGATAAACAAAATGAGTTAAAAAAAAAAAAAAAACAGAATGCAAAGTCTGCAAGAATGTTAAAGCTAAATGGCTTATGATAGCATGGCTGTAGGTATATAATAATTGAAGCACTGTAATCCTTTAAGTATATCCAAAAGCCCATTATATTTTTTTATTAATAACAATTATTACGGTGATCAGTTTCTAAGACAACTGTTTTGTGTTTTGAAAATATCCTCATGTGAGAGCTGCTTCAACTTGATTTCATGATTGGTTCAAGTTTCTTGTGTTAGAGTAAGGTTAAATAAAAGGTTATTATCTTAATATTTTGATGTTCTAGATTTCCTCTGGGTGGACAGTTTTAACTATTAAAAGGACCTGTACCTGAATTTTAAAACAGGAAAACAGAATTACTTCATTTTGAATGGTTTTGAGAAGTCCAAAGTTATTCCTCACTTACATTATGCATTCTGAGCATTCTAATTTTAAGCACTTTTTGCCGTGATGGTAATACTAACAACTAGCATGCTAACACACACTTCTTATTAGACAATAAAACAGCAGACTAAATTTGACCTATATACAATATATCTGCACAGGGCCAAAACAAATTTTCTTCAAATACAAGGGATAAAAAATTGGGTAGAGGGCCTTTGAGGTGTGGCTACTGAACGCAATTCTCGATCTTCCAGAATTTTATCTTTGTTATCTTTTTCAATTTGGGAAACTCATTTCGACCTGCTGACTGGTTGCCATTCTGCTGCCAGCGCACAATAGCCAAACGAGCGATTCAGTCCGTTTGTGGGGCTTTTACTGGGACTATTAGGCCACCTGCTGTCTCCTAATTGCTTGCAGCTCCATTCATACCTGCTTTATACCTGCTCATCATGTGCACTCTCACTTTTAACAATAGGCTCCAGTGATTCCCGAGGTTTCTCTTTGTTTGGTGCTTCGCTTTTATCTCAATGAACCAGTAAAAAGGACAAAAACAGGGTAATTTTCAGAAAGGGTGTTACAAACTAAAAGCAAAGCCACTTATATTTCAAAGCCATATGAAGGTTGCATCAATTAGTCAATGGGAATGACATCAAGAACACAGCGGAGCAAGATGGAAAAGCTCTTGGCTCATACACATGGTTGCACTTTTTGTGTGTTGTGTGAGTCTGTGTGAGTGTTTTTTTTTTTTTTGAGACACATGACATGTATTGTTTGATATGGAAGATCTGTACATCTTTTTTTTTCTTTTTTTTTTAACCATAAATGTACACTTTGTTATTACACTACGAGTCAGACGCTTGAACACACCATCTCATTCAATGTTTTTTTTTTTTTTTTTTTTATATATATATCTATGTTTACTATACTTGGTGGTACTTGACATTTTATATACAGAAGACATTGCATTCATGTGGTTCTCGAGTGCTTAGGTTTCCAAGATGGAAAGTTGTGATTCTGAGTTGTTTGCATTTATGTGTTTTTAGTCTGGAAAGTTGGGATTTTCATGCGGCCAATAATCACCAAATCTGCTCATTAATAATGTTTTAATGGAGCTCAACATTCCCGCCCACTTCAAAGTCCGCTGTAGTTTTGGAAGTAAATTCTCATTCATTTTTCCCATCGAAAAATTAAAATACTATGAGTACAAAGGGATCACGGAAGCTCAGCAGCTTCGTGCTAACTAATATCCAGAAGGCAGTTGTTTTAAGTAGTCCAAAGAGTGTGTTTAAAACACAAGATCCGATGAAATGTTTTAATAACTTTGTAGTTTCTTGTTTAGAAAAGTCTTGTACTCATTATTCACTACATTGTTTTATATATATATATATATATATATATATATATATATATATATATATATATATATATATATATATGTATACTAGGGGTGGGCGATATATCGATATTTTAAATATATCGAGATAGTTTTTAAACTCAATATGAATTCTGACATATCGTATATATATCGATATAATGCTTATATTCAATTCTGATTTCGCCGCTTCACTTGTTTGTCTTCTCTCTCGTCGCCTTCGCGCACCGCCGCCTCCCTGATTTTGTTCGCTCGTGTCTCCTTCACTCGTCACTACCACCGTAAACACCGAAAGTTGGTGCCAGTGAAAAGCTTCAAGCACCACGAACCTTTTCCACCATTTACAGACAAAACCATCAGCAGCACATCCTCATATTCCACCGAGTCGCGTCCTTTAGCCCGAAAGAAGCTAAACGAGCTGAGCTGCACGAGAAGTGCACTGTTTATGCAAATAAGTTTCGTTTCTGTAAAATGTAAACACACGTGCGCAAAACTGCATTAAACACATTATTATCTCAAACGAGCTGATGTGGCTCTACAGTCCTTATGCTTTATATATTGTAAAGTTTAGCAATGTAAAGTTTATTTATGCAGAAGATTTTAATTAATAGTCTGCTGCAGTGTCACTTATACAATAGTGTTTGGAAACGTTGGGTTTGATCTGCAGTGGATTGTGGGAAACCTCAGAGCTCCTTCTGCTGGTGAGGAACATGGATCTGTTAAAATAAGGATCTGTTAAAATAAGGAACATCCTGAGCTTCTTCTGCTAAAGGAGCTCGTGGTTCTGGTTCTGGTCTGGATAACAGAGTTAATGCAAAGATGAGCTTGTGTTGAGTTGTTTTATTTATGAATGAAAAGAAGAAAATATGTTTTATTTACTTTATTTTACAGTTAAATTATTATTTATGTAATTAGGGTTTTTTGTAATCTTAAATGTTCCTATATGAACTGCCGACCTCTTACACTTCAGTTAAAAAAAAAAGGACCTTGTTGTATTTGGCAGATTTGTTTTTGCAGTTTTCAGTTTTAAGGGGTTATTTTTTCTTGAACATATATCGAGATATATATCGTATATCGAGATATAGCAAAATATATCGAGATATATTTTTTGATCCATATTGCCCAGCCCTAATATATACACACGCACACACACGCACACACACATAAATACAGACCAGGGGGTGGGCCGTTAGCGTTGAGCTTTATTGGTAACCATCCCAGATGCTAAACGTTATTTGTTTATGTTACCTAGTCATTGTTACATTGGTATTTAATTAGGTATTTCTTGGGCATATCCGTTGCTTATGATATGGACAACACATAGTGAAACTGATTAGACAGGCATCTACGAGCATGTTCGCTATAAATGTTTTTACTATTAGTCATCGTGAGCCTGATTTCTGCTTCCCTTCTAATGATAATTACAGATCCATCTATATACCCAGCTGTCCCCACGATCACCGCAATGCCATGGTAGCAGCAGCATTTGCCTTGATGGCACACTTTAACGTCATTTTCTAGATTGATTTGCTCCGCAATTCTCTCCAACCGTTGACTAATTAAGCTCATTGCTGTTTTGTTGAAGGCAAATGGAGTGAATAGACTTTTGGGAACACGGCGGGCTTTGATGCGTGTGTGAAAGGGCCATCTTTAAACCCACACACTTGATCTAACCTTTGGCTCTGAGCTGACAGTGCCAATGACATTCAGTGAGCCACACTAAACTCTGTCCTGTGGTGGCTCGTATTGACTGTGTGGGCTGGGTGTGGAAGAGCTTTGATATGACTCTAGTAATTGGTGTGTTGTAGGACTGGCGAGGTAAAAATAAATAAATTGTGAATCACTTACAATTTATTGTGGTGATTAGTGAGTGCCAGAGTGTGCAACTATTATTTTTCTTTAATAGCATTTTTGTTAAAGGCCTATATTACGCTATTTTCTGATCTATGTTATAATTTAGTTTCCTCATCAAAGACATACCCAGAGTTCTGTTTAGTTTCATTCATACATGTAAAATCCTCCAGAGTTCTTCTCTCAAACTAAAAGCACTCTCGAGGACGTGCTCCATTGTGTATTTAAACATCATATACCTTCACTAGAATCATTTGGATAATTTCAGCCCAGGAATTACCCATTTGTACAAAACAAAAGGTAAAGGGTAGGTGTTCACTTGAAAACTACCTCTTCATGACATCACAATGTGGAACAGAGCATTTTGAGCTTTGGATATTGACAGCCTAATAATAATGAAGGATTACTCTACTCTACTACAATACCTAGTTTGTGGAACCAGAGCATGAATTATCCACTTATATAAACATATACTGCATAAATGTTTATTTTGAACTTTCTTACCAGTTTGCCATACATTTTCAGGTGTCAACAGTACCTTAACTATATTAATCTATTGGTATGTTCGCTATTTATGACATCAACCCATCCAGGGACTGAAAGTGGAAATAAACAATTTTGCTATAAACCTGGCATTACCTCTTTGTGTAGGTCATTTTTTTTAAGTTCATTGTCCGTGATAAATAAACTAACCTATTATTATTATATACTATTATTAACCTAATTTATATTTTAGATTGACTTAAATACACTATCTTGCATTTTTTTGTATGGTGGAACAAAGTAGAATCAAGTGCAGCTCAAGTGAGTGGTTGCATGTCAACCCTCAGGCTTGGCCGTATTTGCTGAGAAATGTTGAACCACCTGCAAAGCCTGACTGAAAGAAGCTGAGAAATGACTCACTCAAAACAACAATCTTAGGAAAAGATTCCAAAATCATGACCAGTGTCAGAGTTGACTTTTTGAAAGGCTCTGGGACTACATGATTTTTTTGTCTCCAGTTAAAATAAAGACTCTCCATTGTGTGCGCACAGATCCACATGTGCCGCTGTCAGGACAGTAGAGTCAGAAGCAGGTGGAAACAGCCCACAGGAGATAATCATTCTTTCCCGGCTCTGACAGGCTGTTTGACACTGCGTCAGCAGAGGCCTCATGTAGCACACCTCAAATATCTGAACAAAACCACAGCTTTGCCCAAATAATGAACTGTCGCTGCCTTTATTACCCAGCAGATACAAAGCTATGTATTCATGATTGCACACGCACCACTTCCGCAAATATACTCAAATTCAACCTATGGCTCACATGTGTTCCCCCCATCTACTGTTGTGGAATAGATGTAGCAGCATTAGCTTTCTCGTCTGTGCTGAATTGGAACTTTTTTGCTGGCTTGCACTTTCATATGGAGATGCTGGCGCTCTGGGCCGTATGCAGAGTCAAAGTTGAACACTTTCATGCAGTTAAAAAGCTGTCTGCTCAATATGCTGCAGAGGCCTGGATCTGCTTATTAGTTTAGCTTGTTAACAATATCTCTCCACTGAGGCCGAGCCCATCTGGAGATGAAGATAGGAGTTTCATAATAAGTAAACTGTACCAACAGTTTTGGAGTGCATTGTAGTCATTATTGGGAATGCATATTTACAAGAAAGTGTTTTCATTTTGATGCAAATTTTAGTCTGATTTACAAACTTGAGTTATTAAAAACTCATGGCAGCTGGCAATTTAAAAACTTAATCATTTTCTAGGTCCTTTTCTTTTGAACCATTTGATTTATTTCTTTAGGCTTATTGTATTAGAGCCAACATGTGGAAGGCATTCTGTTGGTCTATAGAACCAGAATATATTCAAACTTTTTGCCAAAATCATCCCTTATTGTAATTTCATGGGGTGTTTATTGTCTATATTGCAATTTACTTAAAGGTTTAGCAACATCCAATCCATACTGTTATAATTGTCGCAATTGGTTCAAAAATGATGTGTCTTGATTCAAAATTCAGTTAAAAAGATGTGAGTTTCAGCTGTGCATTTTGAACGGCACACATAAGTAATGATCTCATTTTAGGCAATCAAACAGCCCCAAACTGTGGGTTTATGTGGATTGCGTCGTGTTGTGTGAAAACACACACATCCATGCATACATTTACAGTGGTGCTGCCTGTTCTGAATATACAGTCTCAGGCCGTCTGTCTGCTGCTCCATCACATGCCCACAAAGCGCGCTCTGCAGGCAAACATCCTAAGCTCCTGTGCAAACACAGCTTGTGGCGGCCGTATGCCGAGCTGCCAGTCTGCGCTCACTCTGCAAACCCAGCCTGTTACTAATGAGACTAAGATCAACAGCATGGCATCTGACACTAGGGCCTTCATGTGTGAGCAATGTGGCCCCAAACTGCTCATCGAGGTAACAAATGTTTATCCACGCTGACTCAATCAGAACCCAAATACTCAGGAGGTTACACAAGTGTGGTGGGGGCCGTCTGTTGTTTGAACTGAATGGCCCGGACTGAGAAGAAAAAAGTTTCTTTTTGGATTTTATTATAAAATCCATACCACCTTGAGAATGCCTGATCTTGTCTGATCTCTGAAGCTAATCAGGGTCAGACCATTTCAGTTCTGGGTGGGAGACCCCTGAAAATACCAGGTTTTATTGGGGCGTCAGTGGCTCTAGTGCATACAGTTGTTCAATCGATGTATGCTGGCATGATAGTGTGGTTGTGAAAGACAATGTGGGACAATAAAAAGAAGTAAACCCATGGCTACAATCTGGTGTGTTTCGTGTAAGGTAAGTTATACTTTCATAATCCCTCGAGGGGATGTATTTGCATGTATGCATGCATATAATGATTTGTGCACTGCGCATTAACATGCACTATCCTAACCAAATGAACTAAAATAATTATTCTATGCACCTTGATTAGATTATACTGCTGAATCCTGCAATGCTCATGGAAATGCAACTGCATCAACAACAGAACTAGTTAGCATGAAGCCAATTACAGACAAAGTAAGAACAGGAAAACCATGACTTTGCAGGTTGTCCTCTGTACTTCCACCTGCTTCTAACTCCCATTAGAGCGCCTTGGTGCATTAGCCATGTTAAAGTGGGCATAACACACATGAGCAGTTTGCAAAGGTCTGTTCCATTTGAAAAAGGAGGCAGTGCTTTCTCCGGAGAGCCTTGGTAAAAGGTCCGTCCTGCTGGAGCCCGCTGAGGCAGAGACTTAGCGCTCGCTCCACACCTCCTGCACCTTTCCTCCTCACTAAATGTCACGCGCACACATGAAAGGAAATGAAAAGCTGCTAAGGGCTCTCTGGAGAAGCTAGTCTCCTTTAATCCATGTCCTCTTGCAAACACTTACATCTGCTTTATGCGTTTACCTCTACACTGTAAGGCATTTGATGATGTTAGACATAAATACACTATTATATAATGCTTTTGAGATATTCAAAAGACAAAGGTCTTTTGAAATTCCTTTTTCTCTGTTGAGTTCCTTCAGTCCAGGATTACTGAGGAAGAAATGTGTTTGCTCAACTAATTTCTTCCATGAATAGAAAAAATACCAGAACACAAGAAGGAAATTACAAAAACTAAAATTGAAAAGCTGAAGTTAGTGTTTTGTATGCTTATCTAACAGAATTATACTGTTTATTCCATCTCAAATTCCACATGCAGTATATGTGAAGAATTTTGTGTAGATGCATGTGCGACATACCCTCTTTTCCAGTTGGGCGATCTGTGCTTTATAAAAGGCTTCCAATGCTTTCAGCTGTGAGTCTTTCTTCTGAAGCTTCTCAGCCTGAAAAACAACCATAGATAATATAACAGCATTAATGTTTATTCAAACCACAGGCTATGAGTGTGCCAACATCTTCTCCAATTAGGACTTCTTATTTCAACTATGAATACATAATTTAAGAGTTTGCTCCAGAAATAATTTATTAGTCCAATTCAAATGTTAAAACTAAGGTATACATGTATAAATATTACAGTGGAGTTATCAGAGGATTTGTCGCCGCTTTAAGCCCAAACAGCTCCACACCCAGTAGACATGAAACTAGAGCTGCACTAATATACACTTTGAGAAGAGGCAGTATCTTGGAAACAGAGCACAATGCAATACTGTGGAAACGTACTTTAACTTTGAGTGATGTTGCTTAACAATAACTTCATCAGCTACTCAACAAGGATTAAAATGAGGACAGACTCAAAAGCGCCTGCATATAAAACGTATTTTAAAGCTGGCAAGGTTTACTTGCAAATGCGTACAATTGTGTTATTTAGAGTTTTATTGCTTTAGAATCTGTGGTTCAGAGTAGTTTCTCTTTCTGATTCTCTTCTCCTTCTCCTCCTTATGTCATTTCATTAATTAGATTAGATTAAATTAATAAGAAATTATTAAGGGTACATTCAAGTTCAATTGTACAGCATGCGCCTACACTGTAAATAGAAGAAATCATCTAACCTGTATGCCTTCACCCACCTGTTTAAATCTGCTGTAAAGAGTAATGTAGTTATTTTTGACAGGGACAAGGGCGGTAAATGAGGAATTAGCATTTAATGCGACAGCTCTCCAGGAAATCAGCAGGGTTTCATTTTGTTGTTTTTTGGCAGCACTGGGAGCAGTAAGCTAAGGACAAAGACAGCAGCATTTCGCTGAGGCAATAGCCTTCTCTGTGGCTTTCTCTGCAACAGCTTGCAATCGGTTCCTTGCACAACAATATGGAGTATATATTAGAAAAAATAGTTACAATATGCACTTGCATGTTACCCAGCACTGGTGTACAGTGTAAGAATGTTACTCTTGTTTGATTTTATTTTTTTATTTTAAACAAACAAACAAAAATGACATTTTACAAGGTACCATTATTAATGGAACGCATAGTATCCCGTTTCTGATCATAGAAGCAAAAATAAAAATATGTGAACATTTGTGGACTCAGATGTGAAATTGTTGTTGATAAAGCACACTGCTAGTTTCAGAAGACATCTGAAATGCTACAAACAGTGTGCGACATGGCTCAAATTATACCTCTGGGAATCTGCCTCCGTCCATCCATCTATTTGGACTGTGTGGACCAAAGAAAATTACACCACATGCCATCTCACCACGGAACATTCTGCCACGGATGGTATTACACATGTGGAATTGGAAAAATCATGCTCACAGAATGAATGACAGAAAAAGAGTAATAGATGAAAAATAGATGTAAAAATACTCTTTAGTGAAAAAAAAAAATGTTTTGACTAAAGAAAGTAAAGTTTTCAAAATATAGTTAAAAGTGACAAAACCTTTATTCCCAAGACATTTGCTCCCTGCATTTGAGTCACTCAGTGCCACAAGAGCAAACAGCAGCAACAGTGGATGACAAATCCCGATCTAATCCAGGATCTTGGTCAGGAGTAAGAAGGAGGAGCATTAGCCTGTTGGACAAATGCAATATTGGGGATTTGTGTCTTTATGGATGAAAACGTAACTCTGTCCAGTGAAGCTCAAATCAGCACTTTACATCTAGTATTTACATGTAGCCTACATTATGTTGCAAGACAATGCCATAAACAGTATTACAACAGCAACATTGTAAAAAAAAAAACTAAAAACATGCCCACATGCAATTGAATGACAGAAGAGAAAAACAAAGACTTACTGTGGGTGCAAATACAAAAAAAAAATAAAAAATGAAAAAGACACATTTGCAATTACAAGACAGCTGGGGATAAAAACAACAGAAACGTCTTTGTGTGGTTTGTCAGTTTACTCTTAAATCAGTCTAATGAATTAATTATCTTTATTAAATATAATCTTCAAAAAATGATGCGAATTTGGCAGGGACACAAAGGGGTGATTAAATAAAAAGCTGGAAATTGGAAAAATGACAAGCCTCAGGAGAAATGTGTTTGGGTCTGAAAGCTCGACAAAGGGATGATTGCAGATGATTTCTTGTATTTGTAAAAATGTGTGCAGGGGATATTTTGTACTGGCTTAAAGAAAATAGTGTTAGTACATTTTTCATCTAAGGCTGAAGGACGCGGCAGTGTGGAGGAGGCATTGCTGTTTCAACCTTGTGCACTCTGGAACTCTTGAACTATTTAGTGCTTTCTATCAATAAAATAGTCAAGGTGAAAAATGAAAATATCACGCTATGAAAAGGTGAAAAGACTGCAGTTATGAACCTGCATAGAAGAGAAAAACATGGGCTTTTAGTAGGTTTTCAAATTAATCACAGACAAAGCTAATTATTTATTACATTTATTTTTCAAGGCTATAATTTTTGGTAATGATTTCTATTGAAAAAGTTTGCTTTCATAAGAAATTCTGAAGCTGAAGACAAGTTAAGTTGGCAAAGTAAAAGTAACAAATGTAAAGTTGTAACTATTGAAGTCACAATGAAAGGAAAAGTAACCATGAAAATTCACTTTCATCAAAAAATAATATAATTTCAAAAAGGCAGAATACAAGCAAGTGCGGTCAATAATTAGAACTATTATTTTGAATATGTAGAAATTACTAACACATTTTTAAAATCAAACATTGAATAACACTAGGCTGAGAAGCTCAAACCTGTAAACACTTTCTAGGTTGCTGTAAAGGCTTTATGAATTTTCATTTTCATTAGCTTGATTCAGATTAAATTACTTACTTCATCGGTTTGTATCCAGAACAATTTCCTTCACACTTCTTGGCACCACAATAAATATTCACCAACTAGTTGAAGTAAGTGTTGGTTATTTGATGCAAATTTATTTAAAAATGTTTTCATGCTAAAGCTGGTGATTTGTATACATACAGCACATTTCATGACAAGTAGGGTTAGAACATTTGTATACAGGAAATAATAAAGTGGCTGCAAGCTTAGATTCTATATATAAATGAACACAGCTAACCTGCTAGCCACCACATTTCAGATAGAAAGTGAACATTAATAACAGACAAATCAGGTGCCTGGTTTCCCTGAGGTCATGCCTGCTAGTGTTAGTAACAGGCTTGATTGACAGTGCTGCTAAGCGCTCGCTCTCTGCTAAACCAGTAGTGCGGGCGGGAAGGGATATGAACTTTCAACAGCCTCACTCCCGATTGGCTCTTTGGTTGCTGATGATAGTAGCCTTAATTCCAAATATGGAACTCGCCTCCAAATTCACCTCTATAACTGCTAGCCTTGACTGGCTTCATTTGACTGGGTGACGTCACACTTTTTTGTCTACTTCTTTATACTGTCTACGGCTGCAAACACTAGAACAGACTGTCGAAGTGTATAAAGATCACCCTTGTATGCGTATCAGAAATAAATTAAAAGATCAATTATTTTAAAAAAATGAATCCAACAAAAGCAAGAAAAGAAGAAAAAGGACAGACAACAAAAAAATGGAATGTAAATACAGACATGATCAAAAATGCCAAAAAAAAAAGAGGGAGGCAGAATAAAAAATACAACAGTCCAAACATTTTACAGACACCAGGCTATGTTACAAAACTACAGCTCAAGTGTTACGACTTTGTATTTTCTACCATCTGGGCCATCGTAGATGAAATGACAATGAAGGTAGTTGAGAAAGTATCTTACCATTACTTCTAACTCATCTGCAGTCTGGACAGAGGAAACAGAATACAGTAATTAGCGGTAAGAATAAACAAGCAAAATGTAGAATAGTACATACATTATTGTATTAGGGAACGTGTCAGGCAGCTAAAGAGCACACTGAGTGAAAGCAACTAATTACACTCAAGGCTGTCAGTCTGAAAGCGCTCCAACTCACTTTAAACTCATCAATGTTGAAATGCCGCTTTGAATGCCATAGAAAAAACATGAAAAATACTTTTCTATTAACCTTTATTATAAGAGCCCAAGGACCAGTGCACTTTTGGAGTTTTGTGTGTGTATCAGCGCAACAATCGTCACAAAGGTCAGAGGAGTGCTGTGAAGAAGGCGCAGATAAAGAAGGCACGATAACCACCCACACCTACAGGCAGCTTTGTCAGTTTAAAAAAATAAACTTCAAAAGATGGGAGGAAGAGATGGGCTTAAAACGGTTTGTGCAAAAATAAGAATTTGGAAACTTTTGGTTAAGTGCAAAACAGGTCAGCTACTTGTTATTTGCAAAGAGGGATTGTTCGAATTGTGGGAGATTGCAGTTAATAAAAAAATATTTATTCACAATTTCAGAATAAAATATGGCTAAAAGGCTTGTGACTCAGTTGACCTTATTCCAGACATTGCCGTGGGCACCGCTATCGTCATTCTGGTTGTATTATATTTTGCATAAGGCTGCCAATCTTGACAGCAAAGAAGTTCTATATGGATTATGCAGCCATTTTAAAGCCTCCTAGAGAATCAGTGCAGTGTTGACCTCTTGGTCACCTGAACATTGAACATTTTACACAAATCAGTCTACTTTATATCATAGTTTTAGCAGCAAAACTTTTCTCAAATTCTTCATTTAAATGTATGGGATTCCCGCTTAACTGGAAGTTCCATCACAAAAATGTGCAGTGAAGAAGCATTTACAGACAAAAGTGGGCAGGATGGAATAAGGTCATTAGAAAATGTCAAATTTAAAAGAGCATTCTGGATCACAATGTACAACAAGTGAGGGCATTACCTTGATCAACCAATGGCACATCTGAGTATGACAGTACGCAGGGCTCCTCTGCAGTTCTAGTGTTTGACTATTTAGCATAAATTGTATGCATATTTTGCCCTTATTTTGGTTAGAAATTGTTAGAGCAATGCAGCAGTCCTATTTAAATCAAAAGCCAAACACTTTCTTAGGTGATGCTTGGTGTGAAAGTTTTGACACTGA